CGGCATAGAGGTCCCCGATGTGGCAGCCACACGCTGGGCGAGGTGAGAGTTCACCCACTTGGTGAAAGTTTTCTTCTGCACGGCTTCCCGCTCATCTGAAGGACAGGCACTGATGAGCCCCCGTCTCCCCGAGGAACCTCCCCAGGAACCCCCCTTCCAGCTTCACCCCAGGCCCCCACCGCCCACTGTTCAGGCCCAGCTCTCCAAAACTGTAAGGTCTTTGCGCAGTCGGCTCCTCCTCCCTGGGCCGCTGCCCACCTGAAGACAGCCTCCTTTGTCTTTTCAAGTTTTCCTGAGATCCCTCTCCCTTCCTCTCTGAAATAAATAAAAATATTAAAAAAAAAAAAAAAAAAGGCCAGCCCACCTGGCTCAGTGGTTGAGCATTGACCTATGAACCAGGAGGTCACTGTTGGATTCCCGTCCGGGCACATGCCCCTGTTGCGGGCTCGGATCCCCAGTGTGGGGCGTGCAGGAGGCAGCTAATCAATGATTCTCTCTCATCATTGATGTTTCTATCTCTCTCTCCCTCTCCCTTCCGCTCTAAAATAAATAAAACTATATTTAAAGTTTTCCTGAGATATCACATCCACAAGAAGCCTTCCCTGTTTTCTATCCCAGTTGGCTCTGTTCATCAATAAATATTTGAGCGCCTACCATGTGTCCCCCACTGTTCTAGGCTCTGAATAAGGGAGAGCCCTCTGTCACAGAGCTCCGTGTAGTTGGGGCACAGACAACATACTAGGGAGCCATGGAGGTGCCCCTGGGGGAGGGACAAGATGACAGCTGTGTTTCGGGAATATCTCAGGCTGCTGTCTGGGAGGGGGGGTCAGAGAGGGCAAGAATGGCAGCCAGGAGACCAGGGAGGTGACTTGGACCTCTCTCTCAGGGGAGAGAGGTCCAAGCTGGAGGAGGGCAGAGCTGTGGGAATGGAGAAGAGGGCATATTGGAGTAGAGATGGAAAAGTAAAACCTGGCAACTGACAGGCTGTGGGGAACGAAGAGGAAGGACTATGCTACACTGAATGCCCCCTGAGGGCAGGAACCCTGCCTCCCACTCCCTAGCGACTGCACTGCCAGCTAGACACTGCATATCCCACCTCCTTAGGGTGAGGAATAGGAGGGTGACTACAGAGGAAAGAGTGAAAAAACAAAATGGACTCACCATAGCCAAGCTAACAAAATCACTTAAATTAGAATGGGCTGAAACGTGAGGAATAGATTTATTTTACTTTAGCTAGCCTGAGGACTTAACTTTTGAACTTTTCAGCTGTGCCTCAATGCCTAGAAATAGATATAAATCCTATAGATAACCTTCCAAAGAATTTAGGAAAGAATGTTCATGAGAAGAACTTAGGGGGAAAATGTTCATGTGTCCAGACACTTGACACCTGGCAGGTCACCCTCTCAGACCAATCCAGAAGCTAGGAATGCAGGACTGATTCTTCTCAAGAATGCACTTTTTACTCAACTTTCCTCTTTCCTTTGGAACACGCTGGGTCCTAGTAGTGTTGCCAGAATTGCAAATCTTAAGATCCTTGAATAAAACGTTGTCATTTAATTTTAACAAGGCCTCCTGGTTCCTTTACACTCAGGTGACACTAACAATGGGAGGGGAGGGGAAGGATGTGTGCAACTGCTGCCTCCCTTGCTTACAGAGACGGTTGGGAGTCTCTTGCTCATTTCTTAAATAACTGCTTTAGCATGAGCTACACATACTATAAAATTCACTCTTTTAAAGTGTGAATTTAAAGTGTGGCTTTTAGTATAGCCACAGAGTTGTGCAACCATCAGCACTGTCTAATATCAGAATATTTTCAACACCCCAAGAAGAGACCCTGTAACCATCAGCAGTCACTCCCCATTCACTCTCTCTCAGCCCTAGGTACCATTAATATATTTTCTCTGTTCTGGACATGTTATATACATGGAACCACACAATAGATGGTCTTTTGTGTGTCTGGCTTCTTTTACTTAGCATAATATTTTCAAGGTTTATTGATGTTGTCACATGTATCAGTACTTCATTGCTTTTTCTGGCCAAATAATATTACATGTGTAGATATACTACATTTTACTTATCTATTCATCAGGTAAGGGACATCCGGGTTGTTCCCACTTTTTGGTGATTATGAATAATGCTGCTATGAACATTCAGGTGCAAGTTTTTCTGTGGGCACGTTTTCAGTTTATCTTGAGTATATACCTGGGAGTGGAACGGCTTGATAATCTATCTTTACTCTTTTGAGGAACTGCCAAACTATTTTCCAAAGTGGCTGCACCATTATACATTCCCACCAGCAATGTATGGGGGTTCCAATTTCCTCACATCCTCGCCACCGCTTGTTATTTCCTAGGTATTATTATTATTATTATTATTATTATTATTGCCATCCTAGTGGGTATAAAATGGTGTCTCAATATGGTTTTGATTTGCACTTCCCTAGTGATTAATGATGTTGAGCATCTTTTCACATGCTTATTGGCCAATTGTATTTCTTTGGAGAAATAATCTATGCAAAGCTTTGCCCATTTTTAATTGGGTTATTTGTCTTTTTATCATCTGTACTCCCTTTGCTACTTTCTGTGAACCTATAATTATTTCATAATTTGAAGTTTTATAAAAAAAAGAACCTGCTGCCTGCCCTTCATTCCTCTTCCTCTGATTCCCACAGGCTTGAACACCAAGGTCCAGAGAGCACAGGGTGGAAGAAAGAACCTGGGACCCACATTGACTGCTTGGAACAGCGCCTCTCTGCCAGCAAGGCTGCTCATGGGGGGACTATGCAGGAGGGAGAAGTGAGCTTCTAACTCCTTTAAGCCACTGTATTGCTTGGGTCTCTTTGTTACAGCAGCTTCGCCTATACAGATATTATTCACATTTTGTTACCAAGTAATTTAGTAGTCACACTTTTAAGATCACATATGAGGAAGTGAAGACAGAAAAAGACGAAGAATTGGATGTTTGGTTATTCTGCTTTTGAATGCTGATGCCCAGGCCCACAGCAGATTTGGCCAACGCTGATGCCAAAACAGAACTTCAGTGCGTCCCAGAGTGGTGCCAGAATGAGGAAACTGGATTCGGCCCTGCCGCCAGGAGATGACCAGCTGTGTGGCTGCCAGAGGTCATCTCTCCTCCTCGGGCCTCCATATTCCCATTTGCAAATGAGGGATTTGGAATAGATCAGGTTCCTTCAGTGGGTCCTGGGGGACCCTGGGTGTTTGGGGACTCATGCTTGGAGGACAAGGACCCAAGAGAACATTTTTTATTTTGTCATTTCACTTGATGAAATGACAAAATAAAGAAAATTGATAGGAACACATCCTGGACCACCTGGATGGCGACTTCATAAAGGACCCTGCAGTGAGAGTTCGATTTTTGTGATTACAATCTTATTAGCATGGAGCTGAGCTGACATGTCCGGAACCGAAATGCCCAGGGGACCAGGCAGGTCTGAAATGGGAAAACGAGGCCCTCCTCACAGGTTCAGCGCCCACGCAGGCCCTTGTCTGGAGTCTTGAAGATGGTGGCCCAGTGCTGCCATATCATGTGACATCATGAGGAGCCAGACATCTGTATTTTTTAAAGACAAAAACTCCCTGTTTTTTAAATGTTGTAACTGATTTAAGTTTTTATAAAACACAGTAGGGGTGAAACCAAACATGTCCCCGAGTGCACTTCCAACCTATGATGACACGGAGTGTTTGCCATCAGTGAGAGTGTCTTCCGTTGCCCTTCCAGTGCCCCCACCACTTTTCCGCACCTGCTCTGTGTGGACTGTGACTGGGCTCCCAGCCCTCGAAGGCCTCAGACTCTCTGTTGGGTTTAGACAGCAGATGAGAGGAGAGAAGAAAGGCCTCCCTGCATGACCAGCTTCTGGCAGTACCTGGCTCCTCTCCTACATCCCCTGCTCCTACTGGGGAGGCCTCTTTCCCATCTCACCACTGCCTGCCTGGCCCCAGCCCCTGGGGGTCTCCACTGCCCACCCCTCTGTAAATGGCCCTTCATTAAACTCTCCTCTGTTTTATCCCTTTGAGGGGCCATTGGCTTCCTGCCAGGATCTAGCTGGCACAGGTACCTTTGGGCTGTCAAGACTCTGAGCCAAATCACAATTGTCCTACTTCTGCCATGTGCTCATATTGAGTTATCATTCATATGCTCTTCTCCACTGTGGCAATCACCAATCACAAGTGAGATACATTTCCTTAGAATGAGACTTTAATTTATTCATATCTTTAATACATTGACACTTCCATGGAGCAAAGGGAGAACTCCTTTATCCATTACTGGCTAAGGAGAAAGGATACAGAGAGACTTAATATGTAAGTGGTATGTTTTGATATTAGTCTGGGAATAGTTAGGAAGCTGGAGAATACCATGAATATTGGTGGAAATATGGAATATCATAATCCTCATGCCTGCTGGTGCAAGTTATAGACTAGGGCATCCATTCTGAAAACAACCAGTCCTATTAAACAAGTGTACACCCCCATGACCCAGCAATTCTTTCCCCTATGTGTCCCCAAAACTTTTTCACACTGGTTCATAGCATATAGAAGGATGTTCAGTGACATGCTATGTGGGAATGGGGTGGCAAGGAGCTGGGTCAGGGTTGGAGACCGCCTGGTTGTCCATCACTGGGAAGGGATGGGTCAAATATGATGAATACACACCCAGGACTCCATGCACCAGTGAGAAGCAACAGATTAGATGTACACAGAGCCACATGGATGAGTCTTAAGACATTGCTGAATGAGAAAATCATGCAAAAAAATGCAATCTAGAATATGACAAAACTTGTATCAGTCAGCAACACCTGCACCCACAAACCCATACATATAGGGCTCCCAGGTTTACGACAAAGTGACATTGACGTTCAGGAGGGAAAGGAAAGTCTTTTCAATAAGTGGAGCTGAGTCAACTGGATATCCATGTGGGTGGGGGGACCTGACCCACACACACTGTACACAATAAATAGAATAAATGTCATTTGGGCTATAAATCTAAATGTGAGAGGAATACAACAGGCTTTTAGAAGAAAACATCAAATAATATCTCCACGGTCTTGGAGTAGGCAAATATTTCTTAAAGAAGACAC